TATATATATATATATATATATATATATACATATATATAGACAACCTGGGTAAATACAGAATGCAGTTTTTAAATAAAGATTCAATTTAGCTATCCAAACCAAACTAGTCATGTGTGAAAAAGTAAGAGTATTCACTGTGATTAACCACAGGGGGAGTTCAGTTTCACTAGCCGTGCCCAAACTTGTGTGAAATGAAGTAGACTAAAAGATCTAAAAAAGCAACACGTCATGCCACGAGCTAAAGAAACAGCAGAGAAACAAAGTCACTGATATCTATCGGTCTGGAAAGGGTTACAAAACCATTAGTAAGGCTTTGGGACTCCAGTGAACCACAGTGAGAGCCATTATCCACTAATGGAAAAAAACAGGGAACTATACTGAACCTTCCCGGGAGTGGCCAGCTCAACAAAATTACTCAAAGAGCACATCCAGAACTTATGCAGGAGATCACAAAGGAACCCTGGCCTCACTTACCTCAGTTCATGATTCAATAATAAGAAAGAGACTGGGCATCCATGGGAGTTTGAGTCATGTTAGCATTTCATAAAGAGAGCAGTCAAACATGGTGGTGGCAGTGTGACGGTCTGGGGCTGCTTTGCTGCTTCAGGATGACTTGCTGTCATTGATGGAAACATGAATTCTGCTCTCTGCCAGAAAATCATGAAAGAGAATCAACGGCCATTAGTTCATGCACTGAAGCTCAATCTCAGTTAGGATATGCAGCAGGACACACCAGCAAGTCCACGTCTGGATGACTAAAACAGCATAATGAAGGTTTTGAACAGACTTGAATCTAATTGAGATGTTTTGGCCTGAGCTTAACAAGGTCGTTCTTGCTTAAAAACCATCCAAATGTGTCTGCATTAAAATTCTAATTTTGGACAGAAGAATGGGCAGTGGTTTGGGTACCTTTTCCCTTAATAAATTAAATCATCATTTAAAAACATTTTGTATTTATGTGGTTATCTTTGTCTAATATTAAAATGTGTTTGATAATATGATACGTGTAAGTGTGACAAATACAAAAAAAAAGGAAATCAAATATTTCACAGTACTGTATGTATAGATTAGCTGGAGTTTGGCCCTACGGCACTTTCTACATAAGGTGTAGAAGTTTAAACAGCCATTAAAGAAAAGCACATATCAAAGAAAAACATTTGAGAGTGCTATAATGTCCTTATTTTCAAAAGTGAACAACTTTCTTTTTAATCTTATGAAACATGAACTGATGAGTGATGATGCACAATGTCCATTTAATGTTTAATGGGATCATTAATCATACATAATTTATGATTTTTAATGGATAGAAACACAGAGCTTATAACCACCACTTTGGTGTTCCAATAGCATAGTGTGTTACCTAAGAATTTATAATGTTTTTATGCTCTGTTTTTATGTTATATTAGATTAAAAAAATATGGTTTTCTTTCAAAAAACCAAATGTTTTTTTGTTTGTTTTTTTTAGATGTGGTGAACTTTTATTTCTGTGATCTGTCATTTATCACTCAAAGAAGTTTTTGTAGTTTGTTAATGTTGCTACTTAATCTGCATTGTTGGATTGAGCAAGTGTGCGTTTAATCTTCGTGTTCTGATTTTATTTTTATTTGCTTTTGTAATAACTGGCCAATAACACTTGCTGAAAATGAAGTTAGAAGGTGTCAAATACCTGATTATATTACATTAACTGTTTATTATTGTTATTATGCCTTTGTGTTTATTCTGCATTTGAATGTTTCCCTGCAAAGTTAAACCAGTTTTAACTACTTAACAGCGCCACTGCCGGCTTTGTTCGTCAGTATTAAAACAGTGAACTGAAGCAAGTAGTTAAGCTGTGACGTTTTATGAGCAAAATCCTTACTTAATTTATCTTTAGCTGTCAAACAAAACAGAGAGGCCGATATCTGCTTACTGAAGTTGCGTTACTTAAGTAAGCTATTTGAAGACATGTTTATTAACTGCATGTCAACATCATTGTTGAGTCATACGTTAGTCACAGAAGATATCTGAATGCGACTGCACCAAGCTCAACAGGAAAACGACAATCTTAATGAGCTCTTATTAGCCTGACGGGGTAAACTTCAAGCCACCGAAGGGTGACTTTACCACCAATGGCGTGTCCAGCGGGGTGGCCTGGGGGGGCACAGGCCACCCCCAAACCAGACTGGCCACCCCAGGTGCCACCCCAAAGGCAAAACAATAAAATTCAATCAAATATCAAATGTCCGATTAAGTTTTCACGGTCACGAAAGACGGCACTGCAGGAAACAATTTTTCGGTGAAAGAAAATGAGGACAGAATAAATGTCCCGGTAAGTAATATTAAGTTTGTTGAGTTTAGTAAACTTCGGTGAAATTAGAATACCAAGGAAAAAAATAACACTTAAAGAATTATTGCAGCTGTGGAATATTTCAGACAGTATGCTACTGAGGGCAGCTAACATAAGAGTTATGCGTTATAAGATATAATCTTAGTCGTAACATTGCTGTATGGAGCTGCAAATTTGGTTGCAGGTTAACATAGCTGGACTGGCCATCGGGCATACCGGGCATATCCCCAGTGACTTATTTTTTATTTTTTTTGTAATGGCATGAACAATGAGAGGTGGTGGATTGGCCAGATGCAGGTCGATGTGTAGAAATAACTCCGTTGTTTGGTGGTGGCTATGACGGGGCTTCCACAGAGGCAACAGGTGGATGAGGGAAGGGGAGGCAGGAGGAGAGCCCCGAGGCAGCCGCCAGTCCGAGTGTCAGGTGAACTGAACTTCAGGTAAGAAGTTATGACCTGCAGTCTATCTGGGTCAGATATAAACCAAGTTTAGGTGGAGTTTATTTTCATGTTGCTGACTTTTTACTGTCAGTTGCAATAACTCATACTGCGTTCTAGCCAGTTTGACGGAGTTTTTATACAGCTGGGTGGGTGCTATGATGTTACTGATAGTGAACTTTATTTTATTCATAAGGTTAGTAGAGTTGCCAACGGCTCCTTAAAAAAATGGAATGGTCCCTCATTCAGAGAAAATATTACGCGTTTCGTATTGAGCTGAGAAGAGACGCGGTTTGTCCCGGACTTTAGCTAGAATGGAAAAAAGACACAAAGCTGGAGTTATTCTGTCTTTATGCTGCACAGCTGCCTCTTCTTCTCTCATTCTCTCCCCCTCTCTCTCCTGTTGCTACTTCAATCATGAAACTGATCAATGATCAGCTGATCAGCTTTTCTCTCTTGTTTGTTTATCGCCCACTTTGCGCCAGAAAGAGGAAACCAGCGGATATTGCGCTAAACAACAGCAGCACGTTTAAGCTTGATCAGCTGTTGTTAGAATGTATTTAATATTAATTTCTAGTATCAGCTGATGTTTGCTGGAGCCACAGCTGTAAAGCTGCTGGTCATGATGTCTGTTTGGATATGTGGTGAGAGGGAAACATGAAGATGAAACCAGGAGATGTCCTTACTGAACCATCAGAGCTGAACAGGTGATGGAGAAACAGGTTTACCTTTTAGGTGACATGAATGAGTTGAAGTTATCAACTGTTTCTGAGAGATAAATAACACCAGGATCCTTTTTTATGTAGCTGACAGCTGGTAACTGTGCAGGGGCGGGTCTAGCAAAGTTTTGCCAGGGGGCCAGGTAGGGCATTAACAGGGAAAGGTGGGGCACAAAGACATACTTTTCTTTCTTATTCTCATTTAAAATACCTAGTTTTTATTAAATAATTATCTAAATCTTACAACCAAAGTTTTTATCTGACGTAAAATGTATAGAAATCATACATATACCAACAAGACTGTACATCACTGTCACAACAGCATTTGTTTTCATTCAAAGGCTTTATGGCTTTAATACCCGGTGGGCCGGTCTGTAGTCAAAATGCCCAATTTTTTTTGTCCCAGTCCAGCCCTGCAGGTTATACTGGCAGTGTCACCATGCCAGCTGACTGTATTTTATCATCAGCCAGTGTTGTTCTTTATCAATATTACCAAAGTTTACCATAAGGCAGCATAGAAAGTATTTACTTGCTTTCAGGTTTTATTCAAATGTTAGTCTTTTCAGTTGTTTCCCCACTTTTTTCCTGTTTCAAAATCAAACACCAGTTTGTGAGAAGATTATCTTCTTTTTTTAACAGGCAGATAAAGTTTTACATTGGCACTGGCTAATTTGTCAATTGTTTGTTACAAATGTTCGTATTTTAATTTTCAAAAATGTTTTTGCCCAAAACATATGTGCACTATATGTCAGTAAAAATACTATGCAAATATTGATGTCCTTGAATGCTGAGTAAGCACTGACAAAGCACTGATTGTATCTCTTGTACTTTATCAACGCAGTATCTAAAAACTTTGCACCGTAGTGGTTAAAATCTCATTCTAATAAGAGTTAAAAGTGCATTTGGTTATTAGGATTATTGAATTATGGTTAAGGGTTGGTAGAATTTTTTTTTTAAACATTATCTGCCAATTAAATCTGCCACCCTTCTCCAAATCGGTGCCCCTACCTGGCCCCCCCAACAAAATTTTCTAGACACGCCACTGTTTACCACGAACACGGAGCTCAAAGAAAGTTCAATCCTTCATGTTGACGAATAGTGCGAGTCTGATAAGTTTCCCTCTGCTTTACCGTTGGGAAGTTATCCCTCTTGAAGGCACTGCCATTTGCAGATATGGTATCATGTGTCTCCTTACTGGAAGTCAGACTGCATTATGTTGCAAAATGACTCAACATTACTCCGCCTACGACTCGTTCTCTGGAAGTTCACCATGCCCACTGCACTCACTTACAGTTTCTGTTTCAGCGCAATGATAAATACCGAGGCAGCAGTATACCCCCCTATCGCGGTCTTCCACAGACACAGTGCAAAATTCACGTAGCCTAAATTCCACGGCAATGACGAGACAGACATGAGTCCCAGACTAAAAAAAACAGAAGAGAAAAAAAGAGCAGTTTTCCTGTTTGGGAACACTTCGCTGTGAATCATACAGCAGCCCTGGTAGCTGTCCAACTGCAAACACACAGTACACACAGGTCATGTGCGAACTTGAAGGCAGGAAATAAAGCGCGCTCCTCTGTTCGTGCGTAACAGGGAAGTGAGTCTAACCTAGTTTCTACGTTGTTAAAAGTTGCTGCGAACGGCTGGCACCGAAAGTTCCGTTTTCTTCTGTTTTATCGACGCGTATTGCTCAGCTTTCCGAATTCAGCTTCAGCATTACATCGAGACACTGAGTGATGGAAGAAGGGCACGTTCTGTAGGACTGTTCGGTGGACTCGTAAGCCCAGCAGAGGGGGAAGAGGCGACGAGCTGCAGCTATTGTTTTTTTTCAATGTTTTGAGTTCTCTACTTAGCCGAAGGTAAGCGTCAATGTGCCTTGTTTCATTCTGCTGGTGTTATCTCCGCTCACCACGAAACCGTGTCAGTTCCTAGAATCGCGCGTAATGGATGTGAGTGTTTGTCATGTTTTGCTTGTGTAACAACAGGCAGGATGGACGTCCGTTGGCCTTAAACACAGCCTTACGTCGCAGTTTTGTCACGTTTTATTTCTTTGAACACCAAAATAGTGGTTATGATTTTTTAAAATATATTTTTATCTTATAAATAAGTATTTGGTAAATACTTGTCTTTTACGAAACGTGGAAGGGAGTTATGTAATTATCAAGGCAGCATGAATGTTGCCACCTTAGTCCCTCCCTTCATGCCTTGCTGTCCAACTGTTTCATCCTGTACCCTCATTACTCTAAAATGTGTGCCGTTTTTGTGGCACCAACACTTATACTGGATGGAACCAGAAATAATTATAGGCATCAAGTTCATATCATCTAGTGCAGTAATCTTATGACATCTCACAAATATTATAGTTCTAGTAAAACAGCATTTCCATTGCGTGCAAGTGTGCACTTTAAGTCTTTAAAATAACTTTAAAATAACTAAAGATAGTTACTCTGGCAGGGATCCAGTGTTCAGCCTGGCACCGCTGTGAAAACAACACACACCTTGTAGCTGATGGGTGCTGTGTGAAGACAAGGATATGTCCTGCAAATGTTCAGAGATAAGGCAGCGCTCCTGGCAGGCAGATGGGCACAATCATGAAAATGATTCACACTATAAACTCGCCATCAGTTAGCAGTCCTAGAAACATGAGAGTCCTCCCCACTACTTCCCACAGTACACGAAAGAAACAAGCAGAAGTCTCTTGGTTTCTCTTTCAAATCAAATAGTTTGATTTGTGTGACTGTTGTGTGTGACTCTACAACCTTTATTTTATTGCACTCACACAAAAGAGTCCAAGCATAAGCTGCAAAGAGGGAGCTGCTTTTGCACATGGAAAAGTGGTTGTTCCCTACATTCTTCTGCATTTTCTTGGCTTTTATGTTTGCGTCTGTCTGAGCTGTACACAACATAATCTGTGTTGGCCTTGGAGGAGAAATCTCTCCTTATTTGTGTCAAAAGCGAGGGCCTTGCTCACTCTACATGTTATACTTCAGCTTTGTGCACAATTTTTTCAGTTGCTGGGGAAGTAATTTTTGGTGATCTCACTTAAAGCACAGGAAACTTTAGCCTTACTTATCAGAAAAAGGATGATTTGGCGTTTAGCTTCAAAAGATACGGTTTGCTTGGTCAGTAGGGGAAGCAAATGCTTTCGTTGTGATGTCCTGGTTGAGTTCGTTGTGAAGTTAGCTGCCAGGCTGAGAAACAAGAAATGCCACATTCAGCATTTAAAACTAGTTTTGATTCTCCTTAGTAGAGTCTAACTGATGTATTGGCCAGCTGATATTGGTCTGCCAGGCTGGTATGTATACTGGAACTTTTCTTTTTCAGAACGTAATGTAGAAACAAATCTTGAAAGTAATTTGCCATCATCTAGTTTTTTGTTTTTTTAAAATATCTCTTTATTTGATTTTTTTTGATACACAAAAACAACAAAAACAAAAACAAACAAACAAAAAACCCAAAACAAAAAAACAACAACACAAAAAGCAGTCTGAGACATATAAAACTAATACCGTATGGTAGATAGTAAATAATTGGGTCTACCACCCATTTACACATTTGTCCTGACAAACCCAACCTGCCATCGGCAGCTCCACTCCGATGGCAGGTTGGGTTTGCTTTTTGTGTTGTTGTTTTTTTGAGGCCATATGGCAGCCTCGCTTCTGTCAGTCTACCCCAGGGCAGCTGTGGCTACAACTGTAGCTTCCCTCCACCAGTGTGTGAGAGTGAATGAATAGTGGAATTGTAAAGCGCTTTGGGTGCCTTGAAAAGCGCTATATAAATCCAATCCATCATTAAAGGGCGCCATATATCCAAAAAGATATTGTCATTACCGCTTAGTTTTGCACTCAGTCTTTCCATTTGTAGGACTCTAAAGATTTCTTTATACCACTGAGTTATTGTTGGTGGTTTTTCAATTAGTTGATCAGTTGATCCGATTGAAAACAATACATTTTCTTGCCAAGAACAATAATTTACATAGTAGTTTATATTTGTTTTTATCTGGAAATTTGTTCAGAGTTGGCAGCCCCAATAAATACTGAGCTGGATCTTTTTGTTTTCTGCTTTTAAGTATACCCTTTAATTCTTTTGTTACACAGAGCCAGAATTTTGAAATTTTTGAGCAAGTCCAAAGACAGTGCAAGTAGGTCCCCGCCGCAGATTTACATTTAGTACATTGTGCTGACCTACTCGGATCAATTTTATTCAGAAAAGTAGGCGTTCTATACTATCTATGTAAAATTTTATATTGTGTTTCTTTAAATCTATTATTAAGGAATAAAGAATGCACAGACTGTATGCACTCGCTCCAGGCATGATCATCACAATGACACTGGAGGTCTCCCTCCCAACTCCTGATAAGTTTTCCAATATTAGATAAGATAAGATAGAACTTTATTAATCCCTCGGGTGGGTTCCTCTGGGAAATTCGGTTTCCAAAAGCACAGCACCGACAGAAGTTACAGTTACAGAATATTATATATACACACACACACACACACACACACACACACACACACACACACACACACATATAAATACAGAGACAAATATAAATAAAATATACGAAGGGGATAAATAGAATAAATAGGAATAAAAATAAAAATACAAGTGAATTGCACATTTCAAGTATTGAGGTCTATTGCACCATTGACTATTTACAAAAGTATTGCACAAGGTATTGTACAGTGAGGTGAAGAGGCACTACAGCTTAGTTGTTCCCCCCTCCTTTGTCCTCCTGTTTCCCCTCCCTCTCCCCTCCAGAGAGGAGTTAAACAGTTTGATGGCGTGTGGGACAAAGGAGTTTTTAAGTCTGTTAGTTCTTGTCTTGGGGAGAAGCAACCTGTCACTGAACAGACTCTTCTGGTTGTTAATGGCCGTGTGCAGAGGATGCCCAGCATTGTTCATAATGTCCAGCAGTTTTTTTTAGTGTCCTTTTCTCTGCCACTGTCACACTGTATTATAAAACTGTCTTATAGTACTTTTATCTGCATTTAAATGTAAAAAGAACTTTTCCATGGGTCCTAGTTGCATTGTATTGTGTAAAGTATCAAAACTTGAAGTAATTAAGTGACGGGCCTGTAAAAATGCAAAAAAATCCATTTGATGTATTCCATATTTCTTTTGGACCTGCTCAAAAGAAATACAATCATTCCCATTAAACAAATCACCAACCACACGTATTCCTGCGCCAAACTATCTCTGAAATACTGCACTTGTCATTCCAGGTGTAAAGTGCTGATAATTTATAAAAGGTGTTAGGTAACTCAGTATAGGATTACTTTCAGTGTATTTGTTCATATCCCGCCATGTTTTTAAATAAGTATCAATCATTACTTGTTATGTTTTTTTGTATATTTACTCACTAATTCACTTAAGAGATTAAATGGCGAACATGTCGAGGCTTCAAGGGGATTCTCTGTCTCTTTTAGATATGCGTGGATCCATTTGTGTATGACTCTACTATGGCATGACCAGTTATAAAGCACAATGTTAGGAAATCATCTAGTTTGACTTGCGGAGCAGCTCGAGTTCTGGCAATGCTCTCAACATTGGCCAAACAAAATTTAGACTCGATCTTGATGTTTTATAGGATTTGTTTCTGAATGGTTATAGTTATAACTGTAGATCCGTAGGAATCTTCTGGAAACTGTAATAAAAAATATCACTCAGCAGCAATTTCACTTTTGCTTTTCAAGAATTGAATGTTGATTTGAACTCATCAAGTAATCAATTGATTTTATTCATCAGTTACTCATACTATTAGTCAGAATTTTTTTGATATGTATGAGTCACCAAAAGTAAAGGTTGAGTGTGTTTTCTGCAGTATTATATTATATTATATTATATTATATTATATTATATTATATTATATTATATTTGCTATTGTTTAAGACAAAAAGTAGCAACACGTTTTTGAAATATGGAGGTACTTTGGATCACTGATGAGTCGCTCTGCTGTTTCAGACTTAAATTGAATTCATCACCAAAACAAATTTTCCAAAGATTTTTAACCTTCTATGGGATGTTTTGTTTTTTTCTACCATTTTACAGAATAATTGAATGGATGATTTAGAATTGAAATGATGAAATAATTAGAAGTAATCTTTATTTACTCTCAGTGGTAGGAGATTGTGTTAGGAAGGGTGTGTATTTAGAAAGTGAAGTTAACGAAAAGGCTTAAAGGAGTCATTCTTCTTCCCATGAGCCAAATTATAGGATTTTCTCTAGTCATATAATTCGATTCGAGTTCAAAACAGTCGCATAAGAAAAGCAAATTTCCCCACATTGGTTTCTGAGAATGCCAGTGGAAAATGACCAGTTATGGTTTGACTACCCCGTAACAGATTTTATCATATATAATGATATGAACAGAAGGTCTTCAGGTAGGTCTGGGTTTTTCCCTATTTCACCCAGTAATGTTTATTCAGAAAAAATAGATATATTGTATCCCTGGTGAAAAGCTGAATATTTGTTTTTATTACACAATTTAAAGCGTTGAGCTGTGAAAATAAAAGGTTTTTTTTATGGCACTGTTTGTTTATGACAGCGTACCTTGACCTGGTGACACATTTGGCCATCAACACAACAGCAACAAGATGCGAATGAGCTTCTGCAGAAATGCTTTTTCTCTCAGTGTCTGTGTAGCAGTGCGTCTGTCATCCTTCGTATTTTGACTGAATTCACCAGGGCAGTCTGCAGACAGCGTAGTCTCTGAAACACTGCAAGCCTTCACTGGCCAAGGTTTTTGAATAATGCATTAACTGATAATAATAATGAATATGGAAAAGTAATACAAAGTGATAAAGTACAAAACATGTCCTGATGGATTCTCGTTTAAATTGTTACATTTCACAGCAAACGTGCCAGTCAGATAAATACTACTGTTTTCATTTGCTGATCATGCAGTGCTCCCGTTTAAGGGGGATTTCTCTATGCTGCACATTTTGGGTAACTTTATGAAAATGCAACCAGAAAAGACAATAATACTGTAGCCACGTGATAAAGATTTGCTTGAAAAAGCAAACTCCCATAAAATAATCTGTGTAGAATTGAATAATATGAGCAAGTTTACATGTTAGAAGACAATTTTAAGGGATCTCTTTCTTTAACTTTGTTCCACACTGTAGATCCCCCCGCCTCCCAACTGGGGAAACTCCCATGATATGACACGTCCACTCACATCTAGCCTATATTAGACATTATCATAGAAATAGGAAGTAAATATTTGGCCTGGCAAACGATTTCAGCCGGACCTGTTGCAGTTTTGTCATCTACGTCAACTTGTGAGGCCAAATAGTGACAGGAGAAACTTAATCATTCTGAGTTACTCTCAGGGGATAAATGCTGGAAAGCTGTTCAGCACATCAGAGGGATGTACGTGCAGCAGGCTCCTGATGTTGAGATAACGCTAGTATAATAATATTGTGTAATCACACAATACAAACATGCACAGTCTTGAAAAAAACAAACCGATTAGTGTTCTTTAATGGAAAAATGTTAAATAAATGACAGAAAATGTAGGCACAGAAAGCAAGGAATTGGCAGGCAGGCACGAGTTTCCACGTCTATCTACAAACTAGTGACATAAGGGGCAGGAACTTGCAGAGACCACTAAAAGCCTGAATTGGTAATCTGACAAATATGCTATGATGCTATTCTTTGATTGACTGCGACAGTTGTTTCTTAAACATCGGTGTTGTATTTTGCAACCCTCTGACTTGGCAGTAATTCAGTTATGTTTGTTAAGCAGCTTAAAGAGGAAAAGGCTAAGATAGTGATGGATTATACACTTAAACTCAAACAAAGTCATTATTAGGGTCTAATCTTTAACCCAACCAGTATAGCAAGTATAGCACGGCAAGGTTCTAGATAACTGAGAGAATAAGAACTTTGTTATAAACTGCTGCTTGACAGTGAAAACTGTCGAACAAATCAGCCTTTTGGCTACAACAAAGAGCCACGTTACAAAAGCCCTAACCCAGTATATAAACACAGGGCCAACGCAAGAGGAAAAGACTCAAATAATTCCATTGTCTTTTTCATACTCCTGCATACACCTACATAATTATAGCTCTAGAACCAGTTCAGTCAAAACACAAGAAACAAGAGCAGAAAGCCCTGTATTACAGCCTGTAGGGTTTTTCCCTCTGAGCTGTTTTGGGTTCTGTGTTGCCCAAATCTAATGTTACAGCACAACCAGAGGGACTAGGAACACGAAATCACATGTACATTGAAGTTATTTCTGTTATGCTGTTTCTATTTTATAGTAAAAATTCAAATTAAACATGTACATTGTGTCGGCTTCTTTGTGCATTTATTCATCAACCGATTTGCTATCATCTGACTAGTAATATTCAATCATATTCATGTAGGACTATGTCAAAGTTATAAAGTCCTTTACTGTTATAAACGTCTCTTCATAGATGGTTTCTTGGTGTCAGCATTAACAGGATCCAACATTACATTTACCATACATTTTCTGACCATGAGTGAAGTGGGGAAATCAAACATCATATCTGTAGTTGCAGTCTTCATAAGCATCTAAAGACTGGTCACTAAATGATCGTGTCGGGTTAGAGTGAGCTGCTCTCTACTAAAACTCTTAACATGATAAGTTTCTTCTGAACATTAAAACTGGCTGCATTGTTGTGTAATGATGCATGGCACCTAAGTATGTTGGGATTCTGTGACCTGAGGAGTGGCACTTTTGTGGAATAGACTTTTACTGCTGGATCTTATTTGGTCTGTATCAGATCAACAGCTTTGAATCTCTTGTTGTGTTCCTTTGGCTGTTTATGACTCATCCTTAGTGGTGTGTGTTGTCCTTATAGGGAAGGAGTGGGTTTTATGGGGTTTGTCAGATTTACAGCAATGTTTACGTGGGTGTTTCATATTAACGTAACGTCCACAAGAATGCCGGGACTTGGAAGAATTAGATTCCTGGAACGGGTAACAAGTCAATTCTGTTAGTTTTACGGATAAGCTTTTAGATTACAACCATGTTTAAACTGGGTTTTATTACTGTGTTTTGCTACATTGCTGTGTTTTTGTGTTTACAAAATGTCTGCACACAGACAGACTTCTACATTTGCCTTTGTGATTGTGCCAGTTACTGTTTTTAACATGCTGGCATTTTTAAAGATAACGATCTGAAAAGCTGTTTATATTTGACAAAGCTTTTGATAGCATGGTGAAAAGTGCCACAACACTGAGTGTCATGATTCGGCCGTGTGGCAGGCAGGATGAGGACCCAAATTGCAAACTCACAGACACGGGGGATAAACTCAAAATGCAGCTTTATTGCTGACAGGTGATAAACAATAACGATGATACAAAAGCAATGCAAAACTACACTAAACTGGGAAAAGCTAAAGTAACATATACCGGAAGACACGGGGAGAACCACACACGGCATGAGGGAGAACGCGACGCCGAACAGAGGGAGACTCAGACAGAAATACACAGAGGGTAAACGAGGAAAGTGGGCACACACGGGGAACACAGGTGATACTGATAATCATAACGAGACAGGGCGGGGTGAACTGAACATGACATGTACAGGCACAGAGGTTCAGACAGGAGGAGAGAGAGCACGGGGAAAACAGACATAACGGGCTGGGGAAACATGGAATAAAACATATGGAGAGACGAGGGCTCACAGATACACAGAGGGGCACACAGGGGGTAAAAGCCATGAAGGGAAAACACTTAGGGAACAACACAACAGGGCAACTCAGAAAACATGGCCTAAATAAGGAACGAAATACAAAAATACAAGGAACTAAGAATACTGGGCCCACATGGCCCAGGACCATGACACTGAGATGATGCATTTTTTACATTTTCAGTAAAAGATAAATGTGAGACTACAACATAATAAAAATTGATGGGTTTTTTTTATATTAAAGAGGCTCTTGAAGCAGTGCACTTTGTCAAAAGTTTGCTATTCAAAATGCAAAAACATACATGTGAATATGTAACACTGCAAACGCAATTCAATACACACGTGCACACTCACTAATCTCTGCAGCTGTGGAGTGATAGTTGCTGGATTTGAGGAATTCTGGCTCGCTCGGTGGAAACGCTGTTACGCAATGCTTTGTTTTGTCAGTTAAGATACAAAAGTTTAAAAAAAAGTTGCTCAATGTTACAAAACAGAAATCGTGACTCGGGAATGGCAGTTTTCTTGCTTGTGTCACACCGCCTTAAAAAGCGTATCATTTCTGTTGGAGAGGTCCTACAACAGGTGACTCATGTTTCCACCAACTTACATTAATAATGAATCAGGAAATCCTTTTCAACTTACATAATTACAGTATTACTGTCAAAAGATATGCAAGGCTTTGTATTACAGTGAAAATCAAACGGCTCATCAACATGCCAGTCGGAAAGTTTAACTTATGGTCAACTGTCTGACTTTCATGTTAGCTTTAGAAAAACAAGCGTGCGGTTAGACTGTAGTTGGTTGATCCCAGCAGGATCATTTAAAAACATTTGTATCTCCGCAGCTGTGCAAACTGTTTATGAACAGCGTATGTGCATGTTTGCTACTGGCGCAGTTGAGCTCTGATATCTGTTGCAGATATTACAAATTAATTAAAAATAATCAATTTGTTGCTTTGTTATGCTATTCAGTGGATCCTTAGTATGACCAACCAATACTGGCCTATCACAGAGATTCACAGTTACTGTTGTTTTGCTTATGTGCTGTCTGGTATGCAGCGAAGGGCGACTAGTGATAGGTAGGAAATAAAATATGGTGTCAACAGAGCAGCTCAGAGTTTTTTTTCTCATTGTTTAAATGTGCTCAGGCCTGCTTTCAGCACATGTTGCAGAGTTGGCTGAACAGATGGTTGTTAGGGCTAAAGGGGTATCACAGCAATGGCTGGCTTGTTTATAAAAACACGAACAGTGTTACATACTGCATGTGTATGTATGTATAGAGATGAAAATCATATTGGGTGATAAATTAAAAAAACCTAACCTTTTCTCCATAAAGAGTGACGCTGACCTAAAAATTCCAGCTCTTGTCTCTTTGACAAACATTCAGATAATTTTGATCTGTATTCTCTTTCTCCCTCTGGACCCATAAAGCAGTGGTTAACACATTAGCCTAACAAGGAAAAGCTCTCTAGTCTGATCCCAGAGGAGGCACAGCTCCCTTGGTTGTGTCAGGATGGACATCTAGAGTAAAAAATCAAATCAAACACTACAGACTGTAGCGTCTCCTGGTGAATGAAGGAGCACCTCAATGTTGATATGCTGTTAAATCAGAAAGATGCGCTGTTTAGTTCCACTGTGTTTAAAAAAAAAAAGTCATGGGAAAGGTTAGAAACATGTAATTTCTTTTTACTCCCTAGCCCTGCGTGATCATGGCCCAGTGGATCCACATGACCCAGATATTGCAGCATCTGCCTTATGAGACAGTCAGCAGCCTCTATCCACCAAACACCTTCCCGATTGAAGTCAGGCATTACATATCTGAATGGATAGAGAACCAACGATGGTATGATGCACACACATACTGTACATGTACATGCTTGTATAGTTTATATATACACATTATGCATGTTTATTCTTAATAAATATTGCATGTGTTTATTCATAAGGGACTGTGTGTGTGTGTGTTCTCACAGGGAGGACTTTTCACAGGAAAAGGTAGAGCAAGAGAGTCAAGCTCAAATTCTGTTGGACCAGGGTATCAGCATGATGCAATCTGTTGCTCAGCAGAATGCCAATGTTGTCGAGAAGATGAAGCTGATGCAGATGAGCAGGCACATGGTAATAAAGCCAAAGAAACTATCAGTTTTTTAAAAAAGAAAGTGACATTTTATTTGAGTTTATGGGCTTTACCATCACCCATAAAATTTCACCTTTGCAGAAATTCCTGTTTAGATTTTTCAACCTTCTGCAGCATTTGTTGCTTGGACTTCAAACTTCTGAAGAATGCAAAAACCTTGGTAGACTTTATGACAACTTTAGAAACTTCCTTAAAGCTGCTACAACATACATGTTAGGAATGCATTGTCTTTGATATCATTTGCATTCATTATTGCATTGCATACTTATAATTAGTGGTATTATTTGCTTATTTTACAGGAACTGTTTCACCAGCAGCCACTGAAGTTTGCACTGATGGTCAGAGACCTCCTCAGGCAGGAGAGGGCTCTGATAAATGGAGTAAGTCCCTTTTATGTTAAGTCTAACTAAAGTTTTTTTCCAAAGGCAAACGTATTTATCCCTCAAGTTTTTCCACGTCCTCACCTCAATTCTGCCTATTTTGGCGATCTCTCGTTTTCGTCCTTATGTTGATACTGTGATTATTATTCCTTATTATTCAGACGTGTTGTTATATTTCCAGGGTGGTTACATTTTAGGGTTTCATAGGGGTTTTTGATTACAACGTACCCACTGCATAGATTTCCTGCTGAAACGTAAATCCCCAGTAGTAGCAACAGTTCAAATCCTTGATATTAAAGCATCTTTGAGTCTGTCAATAGGAACAGTGTTATTGCAGGTGTGGCAAGTTGGTGAGGTGGAAATGGGGGGAGGAAGCAGAGAGCACAGATTTAAGTGGAGGCTGATTGGCTCTGATTGAACTAGAGTAACTATTTCATTATTGAGATTCACAGTGTGGGAAAGTGGTAGTGAGAGCGAGCGGTTTTAAGAACAGAAAAACAGCCTAACACCCACGAAAGCAGATAGGTGTCTGATTACAGATCTTCCTTAATGAACTTCATATCTGTTAGGTAGAGGAATTATCTACCAGAAGAGGCATTGGTTTTATGCAATGAGTGGCAATAAAATTTGTGTAGTTATTTAAAAAACAACATTATTTTCTTTATATAAAAGAAAATGAGTCATGAGTCATAATTCATGCTGACCTGATACTTGTGTTTTTGATCAAATCTAACTTGCATTTCCAAATATGTCATATTGCAACATAAAACAGCTTAGCTCTTCTTAGAAATCCCCACAAGACATCATTGTTTCAAGTTTACTTCTACCCTTATAAAAATACACTGGTGATAGCTGGCAGTCACAAGCCACGAGGTTATATCTCAGGGGGAACCAGGTGAAGCTGATGTGTTTACCAGATACAGTTTATGTTTAATTGTGTAAACTATTGTGTAAAAAAACCCACAAAAGCAAAAAAGGTCAAGCTGTGGTGCTTTGCAAGTCCATTTAATGTTTTTTCTGTTTATAGACCTCCCCTGCACAGTACCCAGCGTACCCGACGAACGATATGTCCAAGCAGGACGTGGACCAACTGGTCCTGAAGGTGCTCGAAGTCCAGGAGATCCGAAAAAAGATGCACCAGATACAAGAGGAGCTTAACTGGGAGAGGCAAAACTTTGAGAGTGCACACTCACAGGGTAAACGCATGTTTTCCTTTAGCAGTACATGAATGATTACATGCCTTAGATACCGTAAGCAGTCAGAGCGCAGTAATAACTGCCAAAAGACTTCAACGGCAAAAATACAGCTTACATCAACAGAGTTCCTGTTTTTCAAGGTTAAATCATAATCTCTTTTTATTGTCTGCTTCCTTTTCTTCTGAGTCTGTTCAGCTATTTTAATTCCACTTGTTAATTTTTTTGGAGGATTTGTTTTTAAATGCTTGAAAAAGAAAGAGTTTTCATAAAAACTTTATTTAGAAGATCATTCTCTGGCGGCGACATGAATTAAAAAAATCCAGGTGCTGCGAATGGAGCGCTAGCTGGTCTGCTCAGTAGGAAGTGGCAGATGTTATCATTTTTCAAAGCAGAATAAGTAGAGATGGCACAGTTACGTGGATGTTGGCGTTTTTTTTGTTTTTTTTAGATACCTTAACCCCATTGTCTGGGGATGTTGCTAGTGATATTTATTTTTATCTTTATCTGATTTGATGTGTCAAACCGTTTTTGAGGTCAAGCTTTGTCTAATTATATACAAGACTTAATGTAGTAAGGTCAAATGTGAAGCACTCACTCACTTTTTGAAGACCCAATAAAACTGAATGATCAATAGAGGAGGTGCTGCCCACTACCAAAGGATTTCTAGGTGGTGCTTTTTGTTTAATGTTGGTCATTTGACCCTCATCATAAACAGTACTTGCATGATGTTCTCAAAGAAGTATGATTAGATATCATTTTTTATTATGCATTTAATTGTTCAAGCAGTGAAGCTGTTGGAACCACAAGGTTGTTTTGTTTGTAGGGCTGCAGCTACTGATTAATCAGAATCAGAATACTAATCCCTAAGGAAATGATCTGTTCTATATTTCTGATAAGAAAGCTATTAAAACAGCTGAACAGTCTAGAGTACGAAGTAAAGGACAAAGAAAAAAGTAAGAAAAAGTTGGAGCAAATGAAACAGGCTGCATGCTATTTTAGTAATAGTTACTTTGGTAATAGAGTAATCTATCAATTATTCATTTTATTATTCAAGTAACTGGATAAAAATACTTTTGTCTTAATAATGACTGATAATAAACATTCAAAAGAGAAAAAACAAGAGTTTTTCAGAATGAATGAACACACATATGCAGTTAAACCCTTTGATTGTACTCATGTGCCGTACTGAAATTACACTTTTTAAAGAAAGCATTATGCAAACGTTTTTTTCAAACGCGTACATCCAAACTTGAATAAGTGGGGTGTTGAGTGGGGTTACAATGTGGCTTTTTCACTTAGGCATAATTCAAACATTAGACATTAGGTGCGCCCCACTTTTTGCAATGTGATAGTTACGATAGGCTCCAACCCTCTGTGACCCTTTTTTAGGTCTCCAACATAAAAGTCAGTCTGTCAAAAGAAACTCACCTTTAGGTTGTGCAATCTTTTCTTTGCCAGAAAGCTTGTTTCTGAGGGGAAAAAAAACGTTTTCTACGTACAGCACAGGAATTCCATTTTATTATTTAACTTAAAGCAAAGCAGCATTTCCCAACAATGCAGGAAAGACTCGACATGTCATGTTGCTTCTTGTTTTAACAGGGTCGTTCCAGCAGAATGGACTTGATTCTGCAAATGCAGAAATCAAGAAACTTCAGACTCACATCCAACAGCTGGAGTACAATATACAAGCAATGGCCACGGTGAGCCAAGGGCTTATGTTACCATCATCAACATTACTGGCATCCTCGAGAGAAGTTAAACTAAATGTCTTTAGAAATTTTCAGGTTATTAACACCAAAGAACAAGACGAGATCTTCATCCCGTTTAATTAAACCTGTTTGATTTTTTGATGTTCCTCAGCTCATTTAAATATACTGGTAGTTAATAGATAAACAGTTATTACTTGATTACTTGTTTTCAGTTAATAATCAAATTGCAATGTGTTTGGATTCTGGTTTTTGTAGAAACGTTCACAGCTGCTGAAGGAGTCTATGGAGCTGCTGGGCATCTGCCAGAACCGATTTCTTAACAGGCTGAACGAGTGGAGGTGGGAGCAGCGCAAAGCAGCCATAGGATTTCCTTTTGATGACAACCTCAGCCCCCTGCAGACCTGGTGAGCTGCACACCACTCCACTGTTTGTACTCACAGCCTTTGTGGTATTGGTTTATGCCGTCCTGGTTAAAACCCATGATTCAGTGTCTTTGACACACTTGTTTTTATGTTCCAAGTTTAACACTAAAAAGAGGGCACCTTTATGCACACAATCCAGTAACATACCGCACTCTCGTTTAAGAGATGGATTTTTGAAGTCTGCATATTTTCAGTGATTTTTGGATTTATTTGAAAACTTTATTGATCAGTATCCAGATGTAGCAAAGTCGGCCTGGCAGTTGGTTTGATCTGTTGTTTCAGTCTTCATTTTGCTCAAATATGAATTATTAGAACTTTTGGATGGATTGCAGTTGGATGAATTTGGTGAGCTCCAATCTACCATTAGAGTCAAGTCCTTTTTTATATCCCTCCTCAGGATCAACTGTAATCACTTTCTTGAATACTTACCAATTCTTACCACCACTTACTGGACACTCCAATGACTCCATCAGATTTCAGCTTATTTAACACAGACAAAAAATCTCTGATGGAGAATGACTGTATGAATTATAAATGTATAAATTGGTCAGTTATTAAACAAATATTTTGCATTTTTTACCAGCTTGGGTGTTTGTGTTTTTGCTTTCTTTCTATACTTTCTCTGTTAGGGCTGAGCAGCTTCTTGGGATGAATGGAAACCTGAGACAAGAGCTGATGCTGACTGGGGAACTGACCTCGGAGCTCCAGGAAGGGCTGTCACAACTTGTGCAGGTTTTGATTGAAAGGTAGCACAGTCCCATTGTTTCCTTTCTTGTCTCACAAACAGCAGTGTAAAGGAATCACTTTATTACCTTTTTTAAAAAGAAGAAGACAGTTGTCTAACTCTGTAACCCTTTCAGCTCTCTTATAGTGGACAAGCAGCCCCCACAGGTGATAAAGACACAGTCAAAGTTCTCCACAACTGTGCGATATCTGCTGGGAGAGAAGGTAGCTCCTGGGAAGCCTGTGTTGGTGAAGGCGCAGATCATTAATGAAATACAGGCCAGGAACCTGGCAAATGTACATGGGTGAGTCGTGTGTTTCTGGGCTGGAATCTGAAATCCCCTCACACTTTGACAGAATATCCTCACTGTGGCAAATTGTGAGGGAAGAAATAAAAACTGTGATCAAGCTCCATCGCTGGGTCTCTCCTCTGCTCTCTGTCTCTGTCATGGATGCATAAGAGGCGTAGGTCTGCGTGTCTGCTTCCCCAAAGGTGCCACACAGAGCAAATAGGCCACAAAGAACCTGCAGAAAATTGTGCAGAGCAAACAGAGCATGGGACAAGATCTAACATGTACTTGATGTTGCAATCTTCCCCACATCGGAAGTGTGGAAACTATGGGCATGTTTTCTTATTCTTTATAGCACAATTGGCAGGAAACATTCACACCTAACTTTCAAAGCTCTTCTAAAGCTCCTGTTATTTGCTGTGTTGTTATTAAAGTTTAAATGTTGTGTTCACAGTTAAATTAAAATCACCAAAATTCTTAAAATAATTATTTCCCACATTATTTTAACACAATAATGTAGATACATAACAGAAATCAGCTGCAACCATTTATTATTTACTTGAAAGGCAAAGGTGTGAGTAAGCCTAACTATACAATTGTAGCGTTTATCTACAGTAACATTAACAACAGAGTCAGCTGTTTGGTTAGATTTATTAGTTAACACTGAACACCTCATATTGTCAACAAGCATTTCTGCTGTGTAAATTTGATCTGAGGCTGTGCAGGATGTATGTCACGATCTTGTTTGTTTTTTTAGCATCTTGTAGATTAGCACATAATTAAATCAAATTAACTACAGAGGTTAAAACTTTAAGTGGTTAATATCAAGGTACTGACTATCCAGTATTTGTATGAGGAAATAACTGACAATAAAATGATGTTACCTGCAGTGATAATGTTGGTGAACTCATCAACAATTCGGCCGTCCTAGAACACAACGCAGCCACCAAGAGCACATGCTCCAACTTCAGAAACATGGTATGTGCGGGTCTACATTTACAGCTCATATTTGATTGACGTTCAGCATCGTTGGGAAATGCAAACTTTGTTTTTGATTTAACAGTCCATCAAGAAAATCAAGAGAGCAGACAGAAAAGGATCAGAGTCTGTGACAGAGGAGAAATTTGCCCTCCTGTTCTCCTCAGAGATCAACATCACAGGCTGTGAGACTCCGTACAGGATACAGGTTTGACCCTATCCGGCATTCTGACTGTTGTTTAACTGTTCACATTACACAGTTGACTTGAGTTGTTTTGCTAACTTATGATCTGTTTTGTTGAATGCATGCTGAGCACACATACGGTGTAGTTATGGTGACTTTAAAGGGGTCGGGTAACGTAACATGTCTGATTACAGGTGATCTCTCAGCCAGTGGTTGTTATTGTTCACGGCAGTCAAGACAACAATGCTGTGGCCACCATCATATGGGACTGTGCATTTTCTGAGCGAGTAAGTGTGAAGTTCTTCTTTTGATTTTTCCTTTTTACATTTAGTATTGCAGCTTGTCTTTTCTGCTGTTACAAGTGTTTGAAAGCTACAACATACAATATGTGCTTCATACTCTCGACTTGACCCCTGAACTGGAATTCAGCAGGGACTGGCGAGGCATTATATCAACTTCCCCTTGCGGTGGAAGAAACACAGAGGCAGCTGTTAGGAGGTGACTGTTGCTTATAAAATGCACAAATGCAGAAGCAGCAGCTAACAGCATATCCTTTATGCCTTCGATGCTTGTTGGCTCCTGGGAACACGAGGCGGGTCTGGGCCCGCGCTGGAGAGTCAGCGCAGTGGCAGGATGGCTGCTGTGTTGCCTGGGATTACTCCTCATCCCCTACCCAACCCTGTTGCTGGTCACATGCTCTATAATGTTGTACTGTGGACATTTCTGTGCTTTCTGTGCAGAGGAGTTTTTTTGTTTCCTGTTCTCATGCTGCCTCCTACAGCCCAGCATGAGTAGAGGTCTCTTTTTTTCCTCTTGTACTTTCCCATTGTAGTGTATATTTCAGTGTTTTTTCCTGTAATGCAACCGTTCTCTGACTTGCATCCCCATGTGATGTCTGTGTTGTGTGTGTAAGGTCAGGGGCGGGGTTCATTCCACTGCAGGGCAACCTGCCACTGCATGTGGCAAATAAAAATTGAACTTTCATCCATCCATTCGCTTATCCTTTTCAGGGTCGCGGGGGGCGCTGGAGCCTATCCCAGCTGTCATAGGGCGAGAGGCAGGGTACACCCTGGACAGGTCGCCAGTCTGTCGCAGGGCCAACACACAGGGACAGACAACCATTCGCACTCTCATTCACTCGCACATTCACACCTAGTGACAATTTGGATTATCCGATTAACCTATCCCCACAAGCTGCATGTCTTTGGACGGTGGGAGGAAGCTGGAGTACCCGGAGGGAACCCACGCAAACACGGGGAGAACATGCAAACTCCACACAGAAAGACCCCGGCCTGATGGTGGAATTGAACTCAGGACCTTCTTGCTGTGCGGCAACAGTGCTAACCACCGTGCCACCGTGCTGCCCAAAAAAAATTGAACTTGAACTTTAAATAAGAGGTGTGGCAGCAGTCATGTGGAAAAAATATGAGTGCAGTGACACACTTGACCCAATGTCCTGAACTTGGCAAGAGTTGAGTGTCCCTAGAGCCCGTGTGTGGGAAAGTGGAAATGTCATAAAAATAGAACATAAATAAATAGCAGACATTTATCATGAGGGAATAAACGCAGTTCACCAAAATTCTAAAGTCTGCATTTAACATCCATAATAGTGCGTTTATATATTTTCCTTTTTCTCTTTCCATTTTAAATTTGGTTTTACTCGTCCCCTCACAAATTTAAAAAAAAAATATGTGTATCAGTGTTTTCGCTTTATCAGCCTTTATGTCACTGCCATCAGGACAGAGTACCCTTTGTGGTGCCGGACCGCGTGCCGTGGAGGATGATGTACAACACTCTCAACAGCAAATTTACATCTGAGGTTGGGACGCAGCACAACCTGGACCAGTACAACCAACACTTCTTGGCACAGAAGGTCTTTGATAAGCCCGACTTTAATGAGGATTTCAGCAACATGATGGTTTCCTGGGCCCAGTTTAATAAGGTTCGCATGTGCTTATATTTGCTGGCACAGGTCACTTTGACCCACAAATCTTACGGTGCCTTTCAACATTACAGGAGGTTCTCCCAGGTCGACCGTTTACCTTCTGGCAGTGGTTTGAGGGAGTAATGGAGCTGACCAAGAAACACCTGAAGACCTACTGGAGCGAAGGGTAGGAAGATTCTGCTGCTGTTTCACCAGTGAATGTCAATAGCCTGTGATAAAAAAGCTTACAGTGTTTTGCTCCAACAGGCTGATATTTGGTTTTATTGGGAAGCAGCATCTCCACCTGATTCTCAAAGACAGGCCCAATGGAACATTCCTGCTTCGATTTAGTGACTCGGAAATTGGAGGCATCACCATCGCTTATGTGTCTGCTACTGAAAGTAAGTGTTGACAGACCACTGGTTAATGTTCAGTTCAATGTTATCTCAGCACCTAAAGCAATGTTAATCTCTTTGACTAATAATTTCCATCATAGTTTTCGTCAACAACTTGTTTTTTTTTTCCTAACTAAAATAAGACGATAACTAAATAAAAACTAATGCACGACGACAAAAACTATGATGACACTTTTGTCGATGAATAAAAACACGATGAAAATGTTCCTGAGTCATGGGATCCAATCAGAACTAATTAAGTTGTGTACATAGGCGGGACAAGTTTGGAAGTGATTGAATCGTTAAATCCTTGTGGAGTCAGGTTAGATGCACACGTCTGATCTGCTGCCAAGAAACAGGTGCTCCCTGTTTCTCACGAAAATGTATCAAAATGTTATAAGAGAATAGCAGACATGTGACCACATTTCACATTTAATGTCAGGGAAAATAAGACACAGAAATCAGATTTAGTCTAGGATAACTCCATGATATTTAGTCTACGAGAACCAGACTGAAAACAATTTAGATGTTTAAATTATGACTAAAACTAAATGACATTTTAGTCAAAAGATTATGAATAAAACGAAAGCAAAATCTGCTGTCAAAATGAACACTGACCTAAAGGATAAAGGCCACTCTTCCGAGGATGCCAGTTTTCAAATTTTGGACAGAGAAGACAGATGGTTTGAAAGAGGAGTGAAACAGGGGCATCTGTGTTCTCTGTGAACAACCATCAAACAGAGCAGGTGGCTTAAGACACCAACTCTCTGCCACCTACTATGCAGTCTCAAGCTTCACTGATGTGTTGCTTTCAGGTGACCTCAATAGTTCACGTGATAGCATAATGCAAGTTCTCACAGTGGTTTCACCTGCTCTTCTATGTTGAGCCTGTCTGCCTCTCATGTCAAAGCAAGAGGTGGTCCACTAGTTTTCCTGATTCCCTTTCATACTGAAGGGTGTTCCTCCCAAAGTGCAAGTGCAAGAAGAACATCTTGCATTCAGGTGACCTCAAAAGGTCACATGATAGGGTGAGGCATTATCTCACAGGGGTTTCACCCAAAATCTCTGTCAGTAATGACCCACGCTTTTACCTTGTGATGGGATTAAAAGTGGGTCAGTGACCTTCGTAAGAGATAACCCCAACTAGGGTTGAAATACCTGAGATTCTCCACCTTTTGGTTGTAGAACATAAGAGGTGATAAGAGGTGAAACGTATTCAAGAAACTTAAAGAAGTCAGTCACTTTCTTTCCAAGCTCCTTATGTGCACCTGCTAAAAATCTTTGACAAGCTTGAATCTCAGTGACCTTGACCTCAAGAAAATCACCTACAGTTTTCAAATTTGTACCAAAGGTGCATCTACTAGGAGGCTGAGGGGTAGCACTGTTGGCAGCCAGTACTTTTGAGTAAAATATTTGCATTTTACACTGCATTTCGACTCGTTTTGCAATTGGCGGTTATAAACATGACGTGACAGATCAAACTTTTTTTTCCAGATGGGGGACAAAAAATCCAAAACATCCAGCCTTTCACCAAGAGAGATCTTGAGATCCGTGGCCTCGGGGACCGCATCCGCGACATTGACCACATAACGTATCTGTATCCTGAATTTCCTAAACATGACGTTTTCAGAAAATTCTACACAGGTAATGGTTGTCCTGTACAAAGACAGTCATATGTTCTCAGTTTAGGAAAAGAAAGTGAAAGTAAAAAACTAACCTCTTTTTTGTGGTTTGAAGCAGAGCCTACGTCGTCCACCAACGAGGGTTACATCCCTGTGTCTCTCCAACTTAAAGTCGGCATGTAAGGATCTATTCATAACAAAATAATACATATAGGGAACATGTCATGTGTATGTGTGTGTATCTTTTTATGTGTGCAGGGATGCCCAACGCCCAACTTCCAGTACACCATCTTCCTTCAACATGTGAGTGTCACTTGTACAGTCTTTGGTACAGTATTTCCATACCACCAGCTCTGCTATTTAAGGAAGAGTCATTTAGCACAGGCAGCAATTACATGAAAGGTGTAATTGCTGCCAATGCTACCCATTTATAGTCACAATTATACTTACAATGAAATCTATGAGGTCATCTGTCATGAAAATAAGAAAACACAAACATTTTAGTGTTTAAAGCTAAAAGTTATTGAAGTTTTAGATAGATAGATATGTTTTTTTATAAAACAGTGCATTTGAAGGTTCATCGATAACAACAATAATTATATTTTAACATTAATGGTAATGAACAATACTGTTAATTTAAGGTAGGTGTGGCATAAATATCACATTAGGTGGTGTAATTAAACATCCTGATTTATGCTTAATGCCATAATGCACTGAAGCTTCAAATCTAGAAAATATACTTCAGTTATGACAGATCATGTTTCATTTCATGTCTCATTTTGTTTTTGTTGTTAATAGTTAGAAAAGATAATGTTGCAGTAGCTGTGCTGTTGGACTGTTTGCCTTTTTTGTTTCGCTATCTTGGACTTTGGTTACACTTCATATTATGTGCTTTTATTTTGTATGTCCAGGGATACCATGCCCTCGCTTCACTCTAGCTTCAATGTGTAAGTGTTGCTTTTATGTATTTCTCTTTTATACTCAACATCCACACCAATTACTTAATTTAAATCTTTCAGTGTTTTTCTTTTAAATAACTGATTGACCCACTGTTTTTTTTTTTCTACTGATCTGGACTTTCCTTTTGCTTCACATTGTGTTCTTACCTTTCATTTTACATACATTTGCAGGGAGCCTATAGCCCCAGCACCTATAGTACAAGGGCCTGAAACCTCACAGAGTAGCTTCTCTATGTAAGTATCAAGCCTACACATTTTTTTAATCTCATTTAGAGCAATCTGTTCATATTAACCAGTGATAATGTGATAACTCTATATATTTCACTTCCGTACCACGCACTCCCTGTTTCAACATAAATATCTATAAATTATCAGAAATGATCAGATATTCAGATTCTGGGCACAAAAAATATTGAAATGTGAACAACTTTGTTTGAATATTCTTTATTGCGTCTTGAAAACAGCATATCTACAGGAAACACACTGTTGTGTACCACATTTACGATGCTACTTGACAGTCTGTGTAATGTAAATAAAATGTGAAAACATTTTATTTACATTAAACGGTGCCACGGAAATAAACATCTATACATGTGCGTGTATTCCTGCTTCACATCGCGGTTCATCTTTCATGGACTCACTACATCGCACATTTATCTGTGAATCTATATCGTGGATTTCTGCGGTCTATACGTATTTTTATTATTTTTATTATTTTTGTGGTTTTTAACTATTGCTTCTTCTTTCAGGCAACAGTTCCCGTCACCGTTCAACTCATCAGAGTTCTCTGATGAAATAATAGATGGTGCAACAACAGCTCCTGGCCTGGAACCCATGTACGTTTTTTTTTTTTTTGGGTTAATTTCTGTAAGACATCCATTGCAATGGTGACTGATTATTAGACAGTAACATCTTACGCTTGCGCTCTCTTTTTCTAGGCTACCAGATTTGAACTTTTTCGATTAATCTAGAGTCTTCTTGTGGGCTGTGCAAAGAAGAAGCCGGCTAGAGATTGAAGCCAGACTTGTGTCATGTAACAAACGTGCCACCATTTGAGCAGATTCTCTTCCTTGACTCTCAACATCTAAAGTTTGGACTACGACCAGTGAAGATTTTGAGACAAACTTGATTTGTCTGGGGCTCAACATGTTAAGAAAGAGGAGAAAATCAGTTTAAATCCAAAGTAAAACTGAGAACAAACCAGAACAAAAATGCTTTTTTTGCAGCCATCTGTGCCTTTGTGTGCATGTCAACAAGAACTTGCCTAGTGGCAGGTCTGTTAATGTCTTTTCTTTTTGCTTTTCTTTTCTCTTCTGTTGTGTGTGTGTGTGTGTGTGTTTCTTTGCTTGTATTTAGGAAAAGATTTGGATTACTGTACAGACTATGGCATTTTTCCAACAGTGGCTATAAGTGTGACAGCGGGTATAAAAAGGGCAAGGGCACATGACATTGCTGGCCAGTGGACTTTAAGACACCAGGGGATTTTGTTTTATTAGTGTTTGGAGTATATTGCATGTTGGTCTATTTTAGTCATACATTGTATGTAACCCTTTGTGTTTTCACTTTTCTCACAGTATATTATTCATTTAGTCTCTGCATATAGCGCATGGTAAATACTCATTAAGGAATAAACACCTTTTCTGGCAGTGGTGACTGTGAGACTGTCACAACACTGACAGACTGCGCAAAATGTCAGAAGTTATGAAGGGTGATGGGCAAAGTTTATATTAGATCTACTGTATGTCAATTAAAAATTCAATTTTGTGTTTTCTGTTCTATCAAACAATTTCTTGTTTAATGTCAGCTGATACTTAGTAGTTCTAGTTTTATTGTTTTCAACGAACTTTGTGCCACTGTGCGTGTTTTTTTAAAGTTTTTTTTAAGGCCCAAGCATACTAAAAAAATACCAAAGAAGAGTCAAAGTAAAAATATATTTTCAAACCGATTTCCCCTTATTTCCCTTTATTTTCAAGCACAACAATAATGTTATTAAGTAAGCAGTTCAGGAAAACAGACAGTTAAATCCATAGACGTTTGGACAATAATAGAATCTTTGTAGTTTTGCCTCTGTACACCACCATGGGGGATTTTTAAATCACATATTCAAGTTGTGATTGAAGTGCAGACTTGTAGCTTCAAATGGAGGGGTGTAACAAAAATATTGCATTAACAGTTTGGGAAAGTACTGACATTTAGAGGCTTAAAAATAACTAGATAAACTAAAATTTCTGCACTTAACAGGAAGGAAAATCGTGCTGTACTGGGCTGACATCAGGTGGTTGACTTGGCCATTGAAGTATAGCCTATTTTCTTTGCCTTTACAAACTCTTGGGTTGCTTTAGCAGTTTGCTTTGGGTCCCTTTGCAATGTGAAACACTATTTTAAACTGTTTTGCAGCATTTTAGATGAGAGCAGAGGGTTTGCCATGTAATATTCTATAAAAGTCTGTAATTCCTGATCATTTAATGCAATACTTTTGATAAAGTCTTTGAATTAAAGCTGAAAATCTGCACTTCAATCACATGTTGATTGTCAGGTTTAGAAACCCCTGGGGTGGAGTACAGATGCAAAACTACAAACATTGTGCTGTTGTACAAACGCCCATGGACCTAACGGTAATTCTGACACATTATAGTGTTTTCTCACTTGTCCGAGCTTTAATTTTTTTTTTTAAATTTTATTATGGCTGTTTTTATATGCATTGAATGTTAACCCAAACCAGTCATTCCCATAAAAGATGTTTTTACAACAAGTTTAGCACTACCTATCGTCACTGCCAGTGCTGTGCATGTTATCACATAACAGTGTGTGTTGGATGTTGAGAACAGATGTTATATGTATACTTAACCTTTCATATCTTGTGGAGTGACTTTTGTTTATATCACCCTGGGGATACTACTACAATCCTTATAGTCTTTCACTGTGGAGACAAATAAAATTTCACTTTTTCTGTAAATAGTCAAAAACATTTGTTTGAATTTATTTACAAGAAATTGGTCATTTCTCCCTTAAGTCAAGATCCATGAGTTATCACTGCACAGTGGAAAATATTCTTCAGTACAAGCAGCTGCGGACAGATGATTTACAGCTTTCGAGGTACACAATCTCATCTGATTTGTTTATGGAAATGATTCGTTTGGGAGTGAGAAGTGTGTTATTAACTATATGACGATTGCTGTATAAATATAAGAATTGCTTTATTGGTCTATGCTGACTGAAAGCATATATCTAAATCCTGTATTTCTTTTTATTACACTTACTCTAAAAGAAAGGAGACAAAACAGGAGTTGGAAACTTAATAATTTTCAGATTTTCTTTTAAATATAAAAATAAGCAATGGCATTTTGATTGGGAAGGTATGCCTGTTACCACAAAGGCTGTCTATTGAATTAAACCATATTGCTGTATAACATAACCAGCGTCGCTTCCATAATCCATTAGCCAAATGGGAGACATTGCATAGCTAGCGTATTATATTTCCTGTCTGTCCAGTTTCAACAGTCATGAAATTAAAAAAGAAGAACACTATACACTGTACATCACAAAGCTTTTTCCCCCCATTAGAAAACAAGTTCTAGTTTCAACAGGCCATTAAAATGTAATTTCTACTCAACCACTGCCAGGGAAATCACACACACACACACACAAAGATTATGTAGAGGAAGCAGAAAGAGAATCAGCTTACATATCTGGTTCAGTGACTGCTCTGGTGTAATTTGTAAAATGCTAACTTATCTCGGTACCTTGTCCCCTTCCCTCCATCCCAGCAGCTGAAGATGTTCCCTCATGACAGAGGAACAGAGTGGCTGCCTGGTGAACAAAGGGAGGAGGTAGGGTGAGTGAAGGAGGGATGGAAGAGAGAGGGGACATCAGGCCAATTCAACTTCAAAGTTCATTCTCTCATGTGTAGACTGTATGAAAATAAAGGTGTACATCCACCGCCCTGTACAAGCACACTAAAGAGTTCAGTCTCTTCCCCCAAAATATCCGAGGGCCTTGTCCAGTGAAGTGATCTCACTCTTTGAGAGCCACCCAGCACAGTTAAGAAAAGAGAAGTCACCAGGTGTTTGCTAACACCAGCAAGAAGCCGTCACACCTCATGCACTCTTTCATTTCTAACCTCAAGCTGATGTAGAACGACCCTTCAGTCATGTCAAACAGCACAGTCCAAAGAGAAAATGCTTGTTCCTGTCAGGTTTGCTCTCTTTGTTTTACCATGGCAGGCACGTGAAGGTAAAAGCAAACCAGTTTTACACACTTGTACATGAATATCTGGTAAGCGCTGCTTTAAAGCTTGGAGAAAAAAATGAACTCAGGAAGTCACCATCCAAAACAAATTCTCAGGAAGCTGTTTTGGGATATGGTGGAGGTTATGTAAACCAGCGGATTTCCCACTGAAATGAAATCATTAAAACAAACAAACAATGGTTAGCATATATGGGTGCAATAATACAATTTAGGGATCTGCAATTATAACTTCACTGAATTTCTGAAAGTTCAAATAATTTCACTGGGTGTTTTTGTTGTTTATTTTAATACAAATATGAATGTGAGTGCGTGTGCTTCACTAGATGAGACACAAACCTGGAACTGCCTGAATCTGACTGGATTCAAATGCATTGATGATCTTCAACTGCTATTAAAAAACAATAGGACCACTCTAAACATGGAATTGATTGAATTGGTGTATTGGACTTTTGTGGTTTTAGCGAGCGCAATAAAAAGGGAGCGTCTTTCTCTAAAAAAGCTGGCAAAATAGATGAAAAGAAAACTCAAAACACAAACAAAGGAATGATCAGTTAAAACAAACACACAAGCATACACATGCACACAGACACGCAAGCACACTGTCTTTCTCTCACTCCTCATCACGCATGCACTTGCACATAAGCCAAATAAATACTAGTGAAGTACAATAACTACATGTAATTTACCCAAAGTTCATGGAACAAAACAAACAAAGGGCGAGATCACACTGGATCAAAACGGGGGAAAAAAGCATTCAGAAGTCCACTGCTCTATTGTAGCGTCACTCCTAGCAGACTACAAAATAGGAAGGAGGGAAAAAATAGAAAAGAAAGAGAAAGGGAAGCAAAGGAAAGACAGCAATAGCAGCCCCTGTCCTGAGCAGTATATAGCCACCTGGTCAGCCAGGAGTGACTGACTCCCCACACTACAGGGCACAGGGTGCTTCTGTCAGTGGCAAGTCTTCTTCCAACCCTCCATCTTTGTCCTGTGATCCAAGGGGAGAAGAAGAAAATGTAGGATGGGTAGTGGTAAAATCAGAAAGGATGACCAGGGCTGTGGGTGCCCCTTTACTGTAAATCAGGAGGTCCAGTTCTAGATTCAAAAAAAGGAAAACAAAACGTTTGGGATCTATAGTAGCATGTGTTGAGACAGGGAGGAGGTATGTGTGCAAAAATAGTGTGTGGGCTGAGGATGGACCAGGAACTGAGGGTGCAGAGGGAGGCATGACAGGTGAGGGATGAGGTGGGCGGGAGGAGGGGGTTCAGAAAAGCCAATCTTCTAACTCTGGGCTTATAGGGCCTGTGTCTTGAGCTCGATGGGCTCCCCCCTGGTCTCCTGCTGGCCGTCGGCCTCTGGGGATCGGGCGCCCTTCAGTGTGGCGAGCCTCTCGGAGAGGCCACGGAAACGAGGGAACAGCATGAAGTCATACAGCAAGGCACCCATGGCACCACCAATCATAGGACCCACCCAGTACACCTGTTGTTTACAGATATGACAGAGAGCAGACAGTGTTGTTTAGTCTGAGGATGTCATGTTCATGCTATGGTGTGAAGTCATTTTGCAGATACAGTTATCTTACCCAATGGTTGACAAAATTCCTGACCAGAACAGCTGGAGCAAAGGACCTTGCAGGGTTCATTCCAGCGCCAGTGTAGTACATCTAGGTAAGAGAAAGAAGTCGGGATTAGGACTGTAAAGGTGCTTGTTTAGCTTGTTAGGATATCGTTGTATGAACCCGGAGTGTATTTTCAAGTTTATAGACCCCGGGTTGGTTTTTACCCCAAGAAGATGCCCCATGAGCACAGAGAAGCCAATGGCCAAAGCAGCAGAGCCCAGGCGTCCGTTGCGTCTCTCATCTGTCACAGCAAAGATGCAGACGACAAGCTGGAGGGTGAGGAAAATCTCAATTGTGGTGGCCATGCCCAAGCTGATGCCTGGCTGCAGCTGCAGAGGGAAAGACAGAGGGATGGATTGAACTGAGAAGTCAAGACAAACACTGTTTGAAATTGAAACAGACATTTAGCTTTCAATACATCCATCCAGTCTCAAGAAAGAGTGCACCTAGTTGTAAAGTATTTTAATTTATAGTTCCTTTCCGAGTATGGGAAAATGATAGGTAACAGCAGGTGACGGCAATCTTACCGTGTTCAGTGCCAAGTTTCCCCGCATGTTGTTGGGTGTGACCCCATAGAGCACAGCAGCACCAGCCAGCGCTCCGAGACACTGGGCAATGATGTAGAAGAAAGCACGGAACAGGGACATCTGAGAGCCAATCAGGTAGGCAAAGGTAACGGCTGGGTTGATGTGTCCTCCACTGATGTGGCCAATAGACTGGATGAAGGTGGCGGCCGCCAAACCAAAGCAAAAGGCAACATGAAGAACATTATGGGGCCCGGTGGTCCAGCGGAGGGCCGCCCCCAGCCCGAAGAACACGAAGAACATTGTGCCATAGAACTCAGCAAACACCGCCCGCCAGAAAGACATGGACCTGAACTCCCACATGGTGGCGAAAGGTCAAAAAGCAACTTCTGAGTGGAGGGATGAAAAGTCAACAACTAATCAACTAAAAGGAGAAGATGTTTCTCCACAGGATTGACTGAGTTTGACACTAAAAAACAAAGAGCAAAATTTGCTCTTAAACCGAAAAAAGACCTCTCTCAATCTAATAGCGACAAAATTTACACCTTACTAACTTGCAACTCTCGTGCAACTGCAAATAATCTGCTGTTCTGCTTTCTGTCATAGAGAGCTCCTGAGTGGAGCAGTACGCCAGTCTCTGCGCATCTATATGCCAACCCCGCTGGTTGTTAGTAGAAGAACATGGATAGACAAACGGTAAGCATGTCCTGCAGACATTCAGCCTCTTTACCAGAGCAGGGGGAGCTCGGGGGCCTTTTTATAACACCCCAGGTCCAAGGCAGTGCCACACAGTCCAGGGGAGGGGTCACTGCACAATACCGCAAATCAAAACAAAGCAATTTAACCCTTTTCTTGCCTTGATTACCCTCAGCTTATTGTAAAAGAAAAACATAAACATAAAAGGCCATGAACTAATCAAAGTGGGCCAGAGAACAAAAATCATGGTTGGCAAGCATTTACAGTTTGGACTTCTTACATTTCCATGTGGTTTTCCATCTTTTTAGGGCTTCAGCTACAACTCTGGGTTCATTGCAGGAGAATGAGAGCACCTATGTACCTCCAACAGCCTGGCTGAAGCATTCAACCAAAAAAGCTGGCAATAAAACACCAATCAGTAGCCCATCGCTGACTCTGAACCCCCCCTGAGAAACTGCAGTGGTCTTGAACCTCAAAAACAAGAGCAGTGAGCAAGTGGTGGGAAGAACCTGTTAGTGCAGTGAACTAACTGCACTAACTTGTTTGATTTTCCAGCAATCCAGATATTTCTCCAAGCACTGAAGATAATATTAATACTGTGTGAATTTTTTTTAAATGATTTTAAACTATTTTCTTTTTATTTCATCTAGTTAAAGTAGCATCAGCAGTTCACATTGACTAATCAGAGGTGTGATCTATAAAGCACGAGGAATTTCTCAATTTCTCCATTTGTTCTCTGGATTGGTACAAATTGGGCTGATGGCAACAGAACTGATTAGGCAGAGTTTTACATTGTGTGGGCTGGAATAGTTTGGAGGCTCAGGTCAGATAAAGCGGTGGAAAATCCACGGTTGGAGAGGAAGAGGGGAGAGCAGGCCTGGCATTGAGCATCTGCACTGGAGCATCATGCTGACCAGGACAGCCAAAGGGACGGCTGCAGTGCTTTGAAAGGATTATGCTGAGCTCACTGATTTTCTCCTTTCAGCCATTTAAACAAAACGCTGGCAGTAACAGTTTCTGCTAGTTTCTATGATCTGTTTGCATTAACCTCGATGTTGAATCTGAGTTCACGTTTCCACAGCCCAGAGTGACTATATGTTTGTTCCAGGGTTGTTTTTGCTCACTGTAAAGGTTATATACAAATATAATTGGTAGAAATATTAATTTTCTACAGCAGGTCACCTTTGAAGTTGCCTGTTTAATATGATGGAACAAACAACTTTTAAATAAAACAACTTTGTGTTAAATAGTGTTTATCTTCTTTTTTTTTTTAAATTCTGACACTTTGACTTTGGTCCAGTTGGGCATCTCTATTGAGAGTAGTATTATGGCCTTTTCGTGACTCCCTAAGCCACCTATTGTGGGTTTAAGCCCACAGTTCAGTTTTACTGGGGAGGGTGTTGAAAAGGTGCTTGCATTGTGTTTTCCTGTTCTCTGGGTCCAGACTGCTGACGCATACCTAACATGCAGCACCTAAACATCTCACATTAGATTAGAAGCTCTGGAATATACTCACCACACAGTGGTGAAAATGTGAACTGCAGAATACAGGACACGGATCGGGTAACTGCACACACAACATAAACCTTTGAAGCTGCTCATATAAAAAATGGGCCAACTTCCTTGAAGTTATGTTTTTATATATATATATATATATATATATATATAAAAACAGGCTTTTGTTATGAGAAGTTGGGATCATCACTGACATCTTTCATCAACAAACTATAATCTTATAGCAATAGTTTATCTAGCCCACGAACTTCACTGAGGTGAACTACAGTACTTGTGACCTTTGGGTAGTTCCTTCTAGTAAACAAAGAAGATGGAAAGCCCCTGAATTTCCCTTTTAAAGGCTAGAGAAAAGTTGAGTGCAGTTCTGTGAAAAGCCTGACACTATGACGTGATTAATCCATTATTTCACATTTCATAGAACTTGGATCATGGGATATAAAGATTTTTCAGAGTTCTTTTTAATGCAGTACTTACAGATGGACTTTTAATTGCTGCAAATCTCTTAGCACTGACCCTTAAAAGACCCCTTCCTTATGAAGCTCAATTTAAGAACTATGGTACGTTTGCAGTCTTTGTTCTGCGTGAAAATACTTTTGAAGAGCAAATTGGAGTAACTTAATACAATTCTTTGAGCTTTGCCATCGCTCCAGCAAAAACAAAACCTATTGAGAACTTTGTTCTTAAAAGGAAAGCTTTATAACATGCTGACTCACACGGCAAAAGTCTCAATATTAATCAAGCTGAACTTGCATATATTAGTGCAGTCTTCCATCATTTACAATGGAACTGTTAGGAAGGCAAGACTATGGCCACTATGGGCAAGAGAACAATTACAGTGACCAGTAAAGTTTATTAGAAATTAATAGCCAAACTCCCACAATATAAGACAAAGAAAGAATTCAACACATGTTGAATCAAACAAACCTCCAATCATAGTTCTGTTGTATATGATAAACATTTATAATCTATACGGGATTAAACCATTTGTGTGACTTTGTTAACTACACAGGATCTCTGCCGTCACCTCGGAATATCTGTAAGAAAATTAATTTTGATGATTCATATAACAGCATAAAGAAACTCATCTTTGCAAAGGCATGACTACGTGGAACAACAGCAGCACTCCACTACCATAACCTCAACACAAGCTGTTAAGTTGCACAAGCATGTTTATTTTAAGTGCTGAAACATATTTTTAAAAAAAGTTATTGTTAAATATTTGTAGATGTTGGCATACATTTGAAAAACCCATTACAAGCAGAACTCCTGCCTCTTAAATTAACAAAGAAAATATGTGCAATTTACAATACAAACATTAAAGGGGAAAATCTGTTATTAAAAAATCTACTTTTTTGGAAAATAGGCATTTTTGAGGTTTTTTTTCTTTTCATTAGAAATCACAACGTTTAATACATAACCTGACATCGGCAAAAAAAAAGGAAAAAAAAAGAGACGGAGAGAAGTTGTAAGACATCAGTACATCCCATAACATCATCATTTAAGTCAATGAACAATAACATTTTCATTTGAACAGAATTGTCCATGCAAAACAAAACAGCAAAGCACAGCACTGTATGTTGCTATGGATTTCTGTGCATGTCTCCATCCAACAGTCACTCCCTGCCACTCCCTTCAGGGGTGTCGCTTTGGAAACTGCGTCGAGATTAGGTTCTTCTTCAACGTGGATGCCAACTCATGCCTAGTCTCCCTCTTCAACAAACTTAGAACTCACTTTGTTAACTACTGAGGTGGCATCCATATTCAACTACTCAAGATCAGGCATTTCTGAAAGAGAAAGTTAAAAACATGATCTAAGTATGAAATTTAATTTTTATGGCTATGGTCATTACAAAAAAAGTCTATGGGCTTTTTGGATAAAGTGGATTGTTAAAGAAACTAATAAACAATTTCTGATATACCAAATGTGTGTTAGTGCTATGAATTATGGGATTTCTTTATCATGGTTGCTGTTAATTCTCTTATTATTGCTGTTTTCTAACTGTCTGAAAAAAGCGTAACCAGGGACAAGATCTGCAAATTAGCTGTGGCTGAAAGTCTTATGTACATTGCATTAGTTGCATTTTGTTTAAACGCAGCAATCTTAACATGTATAAAAACAAAAACATTGAATAAATAAAAATTTATTCTATTAAATAAAATCTCATAACTTGTGACTTTTTCCCCACACGTGTAATTTCTTACTCAAATTATTCCATAATTAATCATCTGTTTTGACACTTTTTCGCACTGCCAGGCATTATCAGAGTTTTGGGACTCGTGTGATCTAGTGACTACAGATTATAAATCACAACAGAGCCCTTTCAGATCGCTACGTACTTTCATCATCGCTGTCTGCAGACTCATGCTGCAAAAAAAAGGAAAAAACAATTAAAATTATGTGTAACACCTGTTATATAAAATTTAAATGCCAAATTACAGTTGTACTATAGCTATATAAAACAAACAAATATTATACCTCCTCATCTGCTCCATCTAAATCTGGTAGATCATCCCCACCCATGCTATTCATCATCTGGAGGAAGGTGCAGGACACAAATCAACATGTCAGTTTAGCTGAACATAGTCAAACAATGAGCAGACTGTGCATGTTTGACACACTTACCTCTGAGAATTTATCAAAACTTGACAAGTCCTCATCTGAGTCATCTTCCCAGTCTTTCCAATTATTGAAATCCACACTTAGCCAGTTGCACTAAAAGCAAGTAGATTAAAATGTTTTGGTTAGGCAAAGTTTAAAATTCAGTCACTTTATAATTTTGATATTTACTTAGGTATTTTTTTTAAAACAGAACAATGCTCGGGGTAATGTGGAAATGGTTTCAAACTGTTTGTGCAACAGAGAGCTTACTGTTTATAATACAGTCCTTCATAGCGGAGCAGATGAAACTGTGGAGTCATTTTATTTTATTTTATTTTTAAACAGTAAGTTGCAAGTTGTAAAATACTTAATAAAAGTGCAACCTGATGGAGACAAACCCCTATCTACTTCCTTTTTCTTAATTCTTTTTATTGAATGAAAGATGAACAACCTGATTCTCCCAAAAATGTCATTCACTCTTAAACCTACTTCCATTATAAAAAAAAAAAAAAATTACATATGCATTACATGCTCCACCTTTCAACTTAAACCCTGATCTTACCTCTTTGAGGGTCAATGTAACTGACAATGTTAACAACAAGGTAATGATGTATACTATGAGATTTTGATGTATTCTGAGTTTTTGTAAATGTTATACTGCTGAGAGTTACCTTTGCCTTGTCTTTGGTAAGTCTTGGCCATGACTTCCCAGGCTCTGCTTTTCGTAAACAACACAACACAGACCTGTCAGTGCGTCTGTGTTTGGATTCCTGTATATCAGAAGGAGAAACTGGTGAAGGTTTCCTAACAATGGTACGCAGGGTCCAACCTGAACTGTCTGCACAAGTTAAAAACTTACTTTAGGGTCAATCTCCCCAAAAAGCTCCACTGTATTCT